GTAGGGTCTAGAACCGATTAACCGCGATAAACGAGGGTTCACTATAATCAGTAGTTACAATTGATTTCTAGAACAGAAGAAAGGGAGAAAGCAGCCTGCTGAAGTCTAAGCGATAACAGATGCAATTGCTGGGATGAGAATAGCTCTGCCCATGTTAAGAAGAGGGGGGATGATGTAATCAAAAGCCTTGTACAGTAATTTGTGTAAATCTCTATTTATTGCCTTTAAACCGAACACTTTAGAGAAGTAGAATTATTGGGTCAAAGGGTATGCACCCTTAAAGCCCAAATTACTTATTGTCAAATGGCTTCCCACACAGATTGTGGCGATGGCAGGCCCTCCCTATTCACCACCCCCGGCAGCGGCTGAGCATGTCAGTGTTGGGTGTACCCGCGCTGTGCAGCATAATTCTAAAAACAGAATCGTTTTTGATTTACTTTGATTTTAAAAATATCTGCCATATGGAACATTTTTCCTTTTTCTGAGGAGTGAGGTGGATGCTGTGAAATCAAACAATAACAGTGTGCCACACATCTGAAAAGGATAGGGACAGCTATTCCGGAGAGGACGATGGATGTGCAGACACGCCACCTTAAGATTCCTTTGCATATACTTTAAATAAGGACACCTGGGAAAGACTACCCCTCGATCCCTCACCCAGTGGGGAGCTCTGAGAGGAGAGAGTCACGTGTCTTCATCTTTCCCCACCCCCCAGCCTCCATCCACAGCAGATTCAGTACAGGCTGAAGACAGGTTGATGACAACTTGCTGACATAAGTATAGGTGTGAACTCAAGATTAACATGTCAATTCGTGGGTCACCACAGGACTGTGAGAGTCTGGGCCTTCAGTTCAGTAATCTGGCACAAAAAGCTGGTCACTTCAACAAGTTACTATGAGATACAAGAAACTCCTGAAGACAGGGGCGTGACCCTCAGACTTTCCACAGGGAAATGGAAAGGGGACTATAAAAGAAGAGAAGCAACAATCACAACTTTCTCTCATGCGCTCATCTCCCTAGAATGCTAGCCAACACCTATAGCCTCTGCTTTCTTCCCATTCTGCCCACTAGTTTTAGGTTCACAGAAAAACCGCTACAGGAAGCCCACAGAGCTCCATTATATCCCCTCCTACCTACACCCACTTTCTCTTTGAACATCTTACATATTTGCTCCAATTGACATACCCGTTGCTATCGATGCATTGTTTATTAACTGAAGTCCATAGTTTACGTTTGGATTCACTCTGTGTTATATAGTCTTAGGGGTTTTGGACAAACGTTTACTATCATGTATTGACTACTACAATGTCGTCCAAATTCACTGCTCAAACATATGCTCGTCTCCACCCTGGCACCACCACCACCACCCCCGAACCTCTGGCAAAAAGTTTTCTAAAAGAAATTCACTAATAAGCTAAGGGGGAAAGATAGATAAAATGAATAAAAGAAGTTCAGAAGCACAGATACCTTCAAAGGCCCCTCATAACACCAAAAGCTGGCCACAGATCAACTTCTTGACATAACTTCTTAGTCTTACAATTACCAATGCCTTTCTTTTACTCCATCTGGATCGGATGCTAGATTGTTAAGGTTTTATGCCAACTTGGCTGGGCCAAGATTCGCGGTGGTTTGGCACTTAAAACCTAGTAATCCCCATGATATGACCTAACACAATGTAATCAACAATGTAATGGAATCTGTTATGAGCAGCCAATCAGAAGATTAAAGTAGGATGCAACACCCTTACACAGATCACAACCCAGATGCAATCAATTGAAAGGAAGTTTCCTAGGGAGTATGGCCTGCTTTCAATTGAAATGGAAAAGCATGCTTGCTTTCTGTTGGGACTGGATCCTACATTTGGCTCATCGACCTCTAGTTCTTTGAACTTAAGCAAATGGTCTGCCATATTGCCTGACAATCTTGGGAGTCATCAATGACCTGCCATATTGAATTCATTCCCATCTGTAACCTCCAGCCTATTGTCTTCCTGCTGATCTTGAGTTCATCAGTGCCCACAGCTACTCAAGCCAAGAGAAGCCTTCAACCCATGACCCTCAGATTTGAAACTTGCCTGGACCTGGAGTTGCCCACTTCTACAACTGTGTGAGTCATTTTCTTGATATAAAATCATTCACACACACACACACACACATAAGCTTCACTGGTTTTGCTTCTCTAGAGAACTCAGCCTAACACAGAAACTGAGTGAAGCTACTGGGTACCTAAACTTGAGGCATTACTGTTGGATCTGGTGATCTTTCAGTCCCTCTTAGCACATACATCAGAGCCTTCTTTTCCAGTGTTAGAACCCAGGACATCCCCTTCTCTGACCCTAAGATGTTCTGCTTCAACTCTTGAAGATATCTAGTTTCCAGAGTAATGTAACACCTTATCTATGCCCCAAACATTCCTACACTGAGCTGCAAAACTGCCATGTACTGCTCTTATAATTGCTTCCTTTATCTCCCTTAGAATTGTTGCAGTTCTTGGCATAATAGCTGTTCCCTTCTCACCTTGTATGTTACGCTAAAGCAGAGATTCTAGGCTGGGATGGGCCAAATGGTCTTCAGTAGATGTCTGAATACCTGAAATTACACCCCAAACTGTGTATATGGATAAGAATATTTTTATGGGGAGACAGTTTACAACTTTCAATAAAATCTCAATTGGGTTAGTGAGACCCCTCAACAAGGTTTAAGAAAGCATCCTCTTAGGGACAATGCAGCAGGATCTTGCTACGAAATCCCACCATGGAAAATAATACAGTTGACTACAATTTTGCTACTCTGACCTCCTCACCTGACTCACAGCATGGTTAGGATCTCAAATTCAGGATCTCAGAGGGCATGGATAAATATAACTGTTAATCTGTAACTACTATTCTCTCTCCTTCCCTGTGCTGATTAGGGACACACAGCAGCTTGCCAGCTGGTTGGGAAACTCACCTATCTCCATTTCTATGAAAGCTGCTTCATCTGGTAGGGCCCGAGGAATCACTCCTGGGTCACTAAAGCTGGTCCGCAACAATGTAGCCATGGAGAAAAGGAAGAGCAGGACAGCAAACACAGGGATGGCAGGAGACAGCTGGACAGCCAGGTAGCGGCACCTGAAGAAAGGCAAAGTGAGCATTTCCTTAGACTTACTCTACATTGGGATCCAAAAGAATGTGGACGTTATCCAGCAACATCCTTAATATCATATGCAGGTAAACTCTTGCTGAAAATAATTTTAAAATGGTTATAGCAGTACGTAGGTAAGGAACTGCTAGAAACTCAAGGCAGATTCAGATGAGGACGGGAAGCGAGGGATATCATTGCTGACTACAGATGGATCTCAGCTGAAAGCAGAGAACATCACAAAGAGGTTTCCTTGTGTTTTATTGACTATACAAAGGCATTCCATTGTGTGGAGAGTAACAAATTATGGATCACACTGTGAAGAACTGGGAATTCCAGAACGCATCATTGTGCTCATAAGGAACTTGTACATAGACCAACAGGCATTCATTCCAACAGAGCAAGGGGATACGCCATGGTCTAAAATCAGGACAGGTGTGTGTCAGAGTTGTATCATTTCTTTTTTCTTTTTAATCATTTTATTGGGGGCTCATACAACTCTTATCACAATCCGTACATCCATCTATTATACGTCAAGCACATTTGTACATTTGTTGCCCTTTTCATCATACTTATTCGGTTTGTTTGCTGAGCATATATTCAGAGAAACTGGACTTTATGATGAAGAACGTGCATTGGGATTCGAGAATAATACAATTTTGCTTGCAAAAAAAGCAAAGAGGATTGTAAGCACTTATTGATGAAGATGAAAGACTGCAGCTTTTCCGATATGGATTACAATTTAACATAAAAAATAACACACACACACACACCAAAAAACCCCTCACAACTAGGCCAATAAACAACAGAATAATAAATGCAAAAATGTAGAAGGTGTCAAGGATTTCATTTTACTTGGATCCACAATCAGTAACTTTGCAAGTAGGAGTCAAGAAAACAAAAGACAGATTGCATTAGGTACATCGGCTGCAAAAGATCTCTTTAGGAACGCTTTTATATGGCTTGTGGGACTGTAGAATTGTACAACCACTGTGGACATCGAGATGGCACTTCCCTAAATAAATGCAAATACAAGTACCTTATGATCAAACAAGCTCTCTACTGGGTATATATCACAAAGAAATCAAGAATATGACACAAACAGATAGGTGCACAGCTATGTTTACTACAGCAATTTCCATAATAGCAAAAACATGAAACCAATCAAAAACTCTGATTATAGAAGAATGGAGAAGCAAGCTCTGGTACATTCATACTATGGAATTTTATCCCTTACTAAAAACACTGCAAGACATGGACAAAACTAGAGAAGGTTATGCTCAGCAAACTCAGTCAATCTTACCAAGATAAATATTTAATATCACTATTGTTATAAGAAAAAAACAAAGAATAAATGTTGTTTAGACACCAAGAGACAGCACTTTGATGACTATGAGAAGGCCAGGGTTGGCGGCCAGAACAGGAAGAGGGAAGGGTGGGGAGGAGGGAAAAAACACATATATGGAGGGTTTAATAGACGATTGGTCAATTTCATTTCTTGAGATGGGCTGTGTAAATATATGAATTCTATTTTTGAAATCACCATCCCCTAAAAAGATAAAAACCCCTTCAGATGCCATATCCTTCAAACCTGTGGTTTGAGGGGCTTTAAATAAAAAAAGCGAATGAAAAGAAAATATTGAAATGGATTTGGCGTCGTTAGGAACAAAGTAACAAACAAGAGCATCTCAAACAAACAAACAAACAAAAATCCTCCTTAAAATGTTAGAAAGCAAAGATGCCAGTCACTTTGAGAACTAAGGTTCAGGTGGCCCACGCTATGGTTTTCTAATCGTCTCAGATGCATTTGACTTGGACAATGAATGGGAAAGACCAAAGAAGAAAGGGTGTCTTTGAATTAGGACACTGCTCAGGAATACTGAATATACTGGACTACCAAAAGAACCAACAAATCCGTGTTGGAAGAAGTACAGCCAGAATGCTCCTTAGAAGTGAGAATGACAAAACTTCATCACATGTACTTTGGACACGTAAACAAGAAGGACACCATGCTTGGTAAAGTAGAGGGTCAAGGAAAAAGAGAAAGACGCCCCACAAGACGGATTACCATAATGGCTCTGACAACAAACCCAACATAGCAACGACAGTGAGGAAAGCACAAAACCAGGAAGTGCTTCAGCTGTCGTACACAAGGTCATTATGAGTAGAAACCTACTCGACCCTCCCTACCCAAACAAACCTAAGCAAAACTCACTGTCATTGAATCAATTCCAGCTCCTAGAGACCCCATAGGACAGGGTAGAACAGCCCCGGTGGGTTTCTGACCCTGCAAATCTTTACGAGGCCAAAAAGTCGCATCTTTCTCCTGTGGAGCAGATGATGGGTTCCATATGCTGCCTTTGTGGTTAGCAGGCCAAAGCATCAGCCACTACCCCACCAGGCTCCTTAGCAAAGCCACCATGTCCTCTGATAGCTGCAAGAAAGTCAATCTCGTCTCCACAGCAAAGTCAACAGTGGTTTAAGGGCAGGGACCAAGCCTTTATTTCTCTTGATTCACACAAGATTGCCAACACATTGTTCTGTACAGCAGGAGCTCAACAAATGATTGACTGACCCCCACTTATCATTTACGTATGATATAATCTCAAGGGACCTCCCCAGCCCCCAGCCCAGCCCTCCCCATCAACCTGCTGGGAGTCACATAAGCACCACCGGTGGAACTCACTCCGGGAATGTCGGAGGCTTTCTTTCCATACCCACTCAGCAGACCTGAGCTACATGGGAAGAAGGAAAAAATGGGCTGAGCCCCAGTAGGGTAGCAGGGTCACAGAGTCAGACAGGGAATCTCAGCAGGCTTTATGGCCAATGAAAAGCTTCAGGGTGGCAGAAGGACTTGGAAACGTCCATTCCTCTTCTCCCCTCCATGAGCTCAGCTAGTAAGTAATCAGGAGCCTTGGTGGCGCAGTGGTAGCCAGAGGAAAGGTCAAGGATTGAACCCACCAGCTGTGCGGTGGGAGAAAGATGTGGCTGTCTGCTTCTGTCAAGGTGACAGCCTTGGAAACCCTACCGGCCCATTCTAATCAGACTATCGGGTTGCTATGAGTCTGAGCAGACTTGATGGCAAAGGTTTCACTGGGGTATTTTTTGGTTGGGGGTTTTGTTTTGGAGGGAGTTAGTAGTTGACTATGTGGCAGTGGTGGTTCAGAGGAAGAACACTTGCCTTCCACGTGAAGACCTGGGTTAGATTGCTGGCCACCCCATCACAGGTACAGTCACCACCTAGCTCAGCAGTGGCTTGCGTGCTGTTAGGCTGCTAGCCAGGTTTCAGTGGAAGTTTCAGACTAGGAAGAAAGGGCTGGTGATCTACTCCTGAAAATCAGCGAGTGAAAACCACATGGATCACAACCTGCAAACCAACCCATCACGCAGCTGGTGTAGGACCGCTCAGGGAATGCTTTCTTCTGTTGTACCCAGGGTCCCCAGGAGTTTGGGGTTGAGGCACCAAGAACCAACAATGGTAAGTGACTAAAGACGATAAGCAAGGAAACAAGAAAATAGTATCTCCTCACCAGCCCCTCCCCACATCAGGCTCACTGCCACCCTCTCTTCATCATTCACCTGGAAAGCCACTTCTCTTCCTTTCAGTACACCCCAAGGCCCAGAGGCACGCAACTCACCATTGTCAGCATGGCAACTCCCATTTACGGAGCACTCGTTCTCTGACAGGCACTGCACTCTGCTCTTTAAAAGCATGACCTCCTGCACTTTGCACAATATGTCTCCGATATAGCACCTATTATACCCATTTTTCATAGACAAAGAATCCAAGATTTGCCTTCTCCCAAAGCCCCATCATCAACTGCACTGATATTTTCCGGTCTGCCCCCTGCAGTCTTCAGTCTTCATTGCTAGAGCCTTGTATTGTTTCCTAGCTGTTCCTCCATACATTGAGCTTTTCATCCCCAACTGGCCTGTCCGCTTCCTGAAAGAAGAAATACCTTATCTTATGGAAACAAGAATGCCTGGGTTCGAATTCTGGCTCTGCCAGCTCCTAATGAATGACCTTGGGGGACTTAGCCAACTTCGGCCTCCTTATCTGTACAATGCAGTGACTGGGACAGCGGCTCAAACACAGGCATGACAGTGAGGAGGACACAGGACCAGGCAGTGTTTCCTTCTGCCGTCGTCAGGGTCAAGCTATGCCCTCCACCGGGTTGCTGCATGAATTAAATGTGTTCATAGAAATAAAGCGCTGAGCGCTGAGCTTGACACAGCACATGTGAGGCAAATGCCGCAATCAACGTTCTTGTGGTTCTATATCTCCCAGAGCCTAACACAGACAGGAACAACTTGTTGACTGGAACTGAATTTCAAACCAAGTCAATGGGGACGTGGGACGAGAGTTATCACTGGTCTGTTTTTATTCTGCTCCAGAGGCGCAGTCTCTCCTTGGACACAGAGAATTTCTCTTGGAGGCAGGCTGGAAGTGGATGAGCGAGGACCAGAGGGAGACCAGAGAAAGTAAGCCTTACTTACAAGGCTTACTTCATCAGCAGGGGGATTAAGCAAGTTGCTGCCAGTTCAGAGCAAACAATTAACTCTGGCTTGTATATTCACTACAGTTGTGGATCAACCCCTCCATGGGCTCCTAAACCCTGCCCCTACTACACGCACAAGTGCACAGGGTGGGGGGGTGTGCGCAAACCAACACTAATATTAGGCTGAGTGGTTTATTGTAATGGTGATCATAGGTACTGAGAATGCAAGATGATTTTAGGGGCTGTTTTCATTGCTTGCTTCTTGCTTGTTTTTAAACAAAATCCTGGTCTCCACTCTTTTTTTTTTAAGCTTCCTTTTTATGAGTTACTGCCTTCTCCTCAAAGCCCAATAAGGGGCAAACTTCAGAGAACTAAAGAATCTGCCTAGCTCGTTCAGGATCATTATGGTTCGGAGGCCCCTGGCTTGGAGAGTGTCCGCTTTTCCATGGCACCCCTTCACTGGTACAGGTTGTCAAGAAATGAGTCAGAAC